CTTTAGGTTTAGGCTATCCCGACAGGCGTCAGCCGGGAACCATAGCTATCGCCAGCAAAACCGGCGTGATAGAGCCTCTTTTAGGCAGCCTGTTGGGTCTGGGAATAGGAATGTTTCTAAAAATAATGAAAATTACTGGGGCATCCTGGATCAGGATGTTGAAACTATCTCCCCTCCACCGCAAGTCAAAAACCCCTTCCGTAAAACCTTCCGTCTTAAGGACAAGCCTCAGTCTGAAAGGTTGGCCAAGCGGGGATCTTGGAAGCCCAAACAAAATCCCGCCGAAGCCCATCTTACCCGTCTCAGGACCAAGCTTGCGGATCACATGGGAAAGACAGAAATGGGACAAAATCGGAAGCTGGAAGTAATAAAGGAACGGGAAATCAAAAGTAATGATCACTGGCAAAGTCTATTAAAACAAGAAAAGAAAGCTAACTTCGGGCGGAGCCGAAGTTTATATACCCTTGAAGTTTAAACCGGATATATATCTCAAACATCGGATATAGTTGGCCGATCCTTATGGGAATATGAATATATAATCCAATTTATTACAATACAAAATCTAAAAAAAGTCTCAAGCTTCTATCTTCAAAAATACCAAAGTTGGTATTTCTACCAAAAACCATTTCCGATCGTTCAGTTATATGGCAGCTATAAGATATAGTCGGCCGATCGTTATGAAATTTGATAGATCGGATTAACTGACCAAAAATAGAATGCGTACCAAGTGCCAGCTTTCTATCTTCAAAAACACGAAAGTTGGGTCATTTCCGATCGTTCAGTTATATGGCAACTATAGGATATAGTCGGCCGATCCTTATGAAATTTGGCATGACGTAATGTTTTGCCAAAAATAGCTCTCATGTCAAATTTGAACTCTCTAACTCTAAAAACATCAAAGTTATACCATTTCCGATCAATCAGTTATATGGCAGCTATAGGATATAGTCGGCCGATCTGAGCCGTTCCGACTTATATACTGCGTGCAAAGAAAAGAAGGGTGTGTGCAAAGATTCACGATAGCTTTAAAACTGAGAGACTAGTTCGCGTAGAAACAGACAGACAGACGGACAGACGGACATGCTCATATCAACTCAAGAGGTGATCCTGATCAAGAATATATATACTTTATAGGGTCGGAGATGTCTCCTTCACTGCGTTGCACACTTTTGACCAAAATTATAATACCCTCTGCAAGGGTATAAAAATTATCGGATGGGTTGGAGGAGGACAAAAATAGGACACTTGACAGACTCAAAAACATTGAGGAAAAACTGGACAGGCTTTGTTCTATGTTTAATAAAATCAACAACATACTTGACGTGATCTTTCTTTTAACAATAACAATAACAACGCCACCAATTTGGACAACCTGATTGAAATGGACTCGGCTAGCAATGATTCGCTCCAAAGACTACTTGACGACAATGAATGTCCTTATGAATAAATCTTGTAAGTGTCTGTCCTGTCCTTCCCTTCAATGTATTTTCAAACGTGACCTAAGGATTGGCTCATGGAATGCTGGCGGTGTCTCCAATAAGTTGGCCGAGCTAGAGGCCTTCCTGGTCTCCAATAAAATTGATGTCATGATGATTAATGAGTTGAAATCCTTATCCATTAATATTCCTGGCTACCACACCTACTTAGCCATTAACCCTCAAACATCCAGGAGAGGAGGAGCCGCTCTCCTTGTTCGTACCGGGATACCTCACTCGCCACTTGATCCTGTTTCCAACGACACGTTTCAATGTTGCCCAGTTCTCTTGTCCGGCATCGTTCTTGCATCCATCTATTGCCCTCCATCTTTCAAATGGTCCGCTGATAACTTTAAAGACCTTTTTAAAAATATTGACAAGCTCTGCCCGCTCCAAAGTCCACGGTTCCTGGTCGCGGGGGATTGGAATGCCAAATTCCAGATGTGGGGCAGCTCTAGAAGCTGCAAAAGAGGCAAAGCTTTGATGAAAGAAATTTTAAGCAAGCCTAGATATAACATCCTGGCCACCGGAGGAGCCACCTTTTTTCCACATAATAAGAATTCAAATCCCTCATCGATTGATTTCGCGATCTCCTCTGGTTTCCTTCCTTCCCATCTCTTCATCTCGGCAAGCAATCAATTGTCCTCTGACCACCTCCCCTTAATTATAAGGGCGCCTCTAGGCAAATTAGCCTTATTGCCTCAGGCGACTCATCCACCTACTTCCAGGCCTCTCTTTCCGCCAAGGAGTCGAGAGGATATAAAAACCTTCCAAGACACCTTGGATAGAAAAATCCTATTAAATACTGAAATTTACACAGGCATGGACATTGAGGATGCCGTTGACATCCTCTCAGCAAACATCAAGGGGGCTCTTTCAACAACATCTGCTCCTGCGAGAGCCACCTCTAGGCTGAGAAATCAAGGTCCGCGTCCTAAATTGGACAATCATACCCGCCTCCTCCTTAGAAATGTCCAGTATCGGGAATTGGAGTATAAAAAAACCCGTCAGTCCACACTAAAGCTAAATACATGTAACGTGTAACGGTAGTGGTGATCAATCCGGGATTTTGTACTTGCGGGGCACGCTTTACTATTCCGGCTCGGGCTCGTCGGCTTGGGGGGTGGTGGTCTTGCTCCGTACAGAATCCCACACAACTACACATTATTATTAATTAGAAATCGGAATTAGCGTGCTGCGACAAAAAAATACTCAAACAGGAAAACTGTAAAAATATCTAGAGCTAAACGATAACCGGAAGAACAGAAGGACCGTTTCAGAGAAACCAGAAGAAAGGGAAAGGAAAAGAGGTGAGAAATAAAAAGAAAGGTTGCGATACACAGCTGGAATGTGTACGCTTTATGCCCTACCCAACCTACGACCCTCTCCGCTCGAGCATGGCTCTGAGGATCCCTTCACATCCTAGGGTCTGAGAAACAACAGCGTGGTTCAGTTATAAGTTTAGTTATTCATTATATTATTATTTTTTCAAACGTTATAAAAGGTAATAATTAAAAGATACATGTTTTGTTTTGTGCGATAGAAAATTATAACCAAAGATTGTAATCAAATATTCAAAATTAGGGGGTAGCAATATAGTAATTATAACAATAACTTAAAACTAAATATTAAGGAATATTTGTAAAAAATGTATTAATGTTAGAAGATATTAAAATTATTAAAGTAATGGCATGATTAATAAAAAAAATAAACAACAATTTAAATTCCTATCCCAAACGTGGCAATAATCTTGGCAGGCGAAATTCAAAAATAAAGTTAATCTATTTCGTTAATTGGCGTTGTTCATTTCATATTAAAAAAGAAAAAAAAATTTTTTTTTCAAGTCTTTATAAAAATTTTCAAACATAATTTTTTTTTTTAGTGTATTTAAAACTTTTCTTTTATCTAAAATATTTTCATGTTTTCATTCTCATCTAATCTCTAATTATTTTTATTTCAATAATATTAAATTAAATAAAATTCATTCCAAAATTTCTCTCAGTGTAGCCAAAGCTCGCTGACTGAAAGATAAGCTCGCTGTAAATATAACCGTTCTTAGATTCTTCTTTTTTTCCATCTTTCTATTTTTTTGCAAAATTCGTTTTAGTGAGAATGTTACTTGCACCAACAAAAAAAAAAAATGATAATTTCATGCAGCTAATTTTTTTTTTTTTGTAAAAAGTAAATATAAATTAAGAAAACAAACTCACTTGCATTTCCATGACGAAAGATCGATCTCCCGCGCTGGCGTGCTGAAAACGAAATTTTGGGGGGCTTTTCCCATAATTTTCGGGAAATTCTGAGACGCAAATAATTTAAATTTCTTTGTAACACATCAGAGCTTTTCTTTCAGTGCTTCTTGCTCTTTCAAACCAAACTCAGCAACCAAAACAAAAATAAAAGGAAAAAAAATCAAAAAAAATAAATAAAAATTAGCAATTTAAATTTCGAGGAGCCTTTCTAATTTCTCTTTGCCGCACGTTTTCACATTTTTTAACTTTATTTATATAAATTTTCCATTTTTTTAACTTATTCTTTATTTATAACATTTTTTAACTATTTATTCTTTTAACATTTACTTTTAGGTTTTCGCTTCACCTTTTCATTCATTCTTTCTACAATAATTTGCTTTTTAGCACTGTTTTAGCTTAATTATATTTTTAGGTTTATTTATTTAAATTCCCACTTCATTGTTTGTAGTGTATTACTCTTAAAAATTTTGGTATAACCAAAAAAAAATAAATTTTAATTTTTGTTTCTGCACATTTTTCGTTCACGTTTTTTTTTCTTTTTTTATAGCTCGCAAGCATTAATCTTCATTATTTAATATTTTTTTTTTTATTATAGTTTTTTTGTTTTATATTTTTCTCTGTGTACACGTGGTTTTTTTTTTTTGGGGACTTTAGGTTAAATTCACATTTTTCACTCCCACTAGGCTTTTTCGCCCACTGTCACAATCAAAAAAATGCTGGCCCACGGAGTTGCCGATCCCTCGATGGGATGAATAAGGCGCTCCGCGGGACACTGAGGATCGCTGGGCCGGCTCAGGGTGTGCTCCACTTGGATGCCGGGCCGTTGGATGAGCCACGTGGAGGTGGATTTTCCTGGGCAAGGCCGGTAACTCCTAAGGGTTCCTATTTTTCTTCCTTCCTTGGGTGGGTTGGCAGATTAGGCAGGTTTATCTGGGTAATCTAAAGAAATAACCCAAAAAGAATTTAACTCATGTGTGAGCAATGACTCCCACATGTCAAGGTAAGGAACTTACATGGACAGGTCTTTCTGCTCTGAAGGTTCGATTGAAAAGAACCTAAGATTCCAGAGCGGAAATACACGTCAGTCAAACACAGCGCCATCATAGGTCAATGCAGCTTTCCAGTGCATACCTGCATACAGCTGATAAGAAGCTGCATCTCGGATGGCAACTCTTAGTTTACCTAATCGGTAATCTACGCTTACGATCTTTGGCGCCAAATATAAAAACATTTGAATTTTTCTTTGGCTTCAGTCGCCAGTACAAAACCCCCCGCTAAAATCAGACTAGGGTATGATCGAGAGAATACTCTAGACTGATTCCGACTGAAGCTATTGTCGAATGTCTTTAGCGTGGTAAGTACCTACAACTTTTCCTTGAAGGTCTTCCAGTTCATAGTAGAGGTTACCGATCTTTCTTCGAATCCGAGACTTTACAAACATTGGACCGAATTTGGCGTTATATCCAGCTTGAAAGCAGCTTTGCTTAAAGTTACGTCGATATACCTCTTGACCTTCAGTATACGTGACCTTACGAGTACGGAGATCATAGCGCTTCTTGTTTTCCTCGTGCTTTCTGTACATTTGCTCGCATGCTTGTTTGCGAACTATTTCGAAAGAATCCTGCCTGCCAAATCGTAGCGAACGATCGTTCAAAAGATTTAAACGTCGGAGCAGAGAATAGGTTGAACCAGAGGTAACCATATGCTGTCCAAAAGCCATGTAGTACGGACTTGTTCCAAGGCTGGAGTGTATGGAAGATCTCAGCGCACAGGATATCCTGTTCAGAACTTCATCCCAATCCTTCTGATCCGGGCGTATATACGCTCTAATGGCGGATATGACCGACCTATTTACACGCTCCGAGGCGTTAGCCTGAGGTGAATAAACAGCAGTCAGAGTATGATTAATGCTATATTCCTGCATTAATCCTCGAAACGCTTTCGACCGAAATTGGGACCCGTTATCTGACACTATCGTTTCAGGGACTCCAAAAGTCATAAACAGTTCACTGTCTAGATACTTCACAATTGCGCTAGAATCAATTTTCCTAACAGGCTTAAGGAAAACAAACTTTGAGAAGTGATCGAGGACGATAAAAATGCCCACGTTTCCACTTCGCGATCTGGGATAAGGCCCGAGAAAATCAACGAAAAGCCTTTGAAAGAACCGCTGAGTCTCCGGTGCTCTCCCCAAAGGAGGTCTGAGAACACAATTCGGTGCTTTCGTGCATTTGCAAACCTCACAAGCGCTTATATAAGCCCTTACGTCTGAAACGAGACCAGGCCAGAAATAGTAATGCCTAATCCTCTCGATAGTTTTGTGTACGCCTCCATGTGAGGCCAAGGGGCTATCATGAGCTAGAGAAAGAACTTTGGGCACTAATTCCTTTGGTAACCAAAGCTTCCATGCGTATTCGTCATGTACCTGTTCCCCGGTTAAGTGTTCCGCTTTACGATACAAATAACCGTCTTCCACTTTAAGATCAGGGAAATTTAGTTTATTTTCTTCCACTCTCTTTATCAGATTACTATACTCCTCCGATTTAAAAGCTTCGGAATTTAGATCAATAATAAGTCCTTCCGTCAAATCAATGGCAGCAACTGCCTCTTCGTTCACGCGAGACAAAACGTCGGGAACAACGTTTAGTGAACCCTTGCGATGCTCGATCTCGAAAACGTATCTTTGTAACGCTAACGACCACCGAGCTAATCGGGAACTTAAATCGTGGTTCGACATCAACCACTTTAACGAAGCATGATCTGTAATTATCTTGAATTTCAAACCCTCCACATACGCTCTAAAATTCTTTAAAGCGACGATAGCAGCTAAACATTCTTGTTCAGTGACTGTGTAGTTTTTCTGAGCTTTATTCAATTTCTTTGAAACAAAAGCAATCGGTCTCTCGTCGCCTTCGTCTGAAACCTGCACTAATACAGCACCTACGCCTGTTTTACTGGCATCACAGTGTATAGCGAACGGCTTCGCGAAGTCTGGACTACATAAAACAGGTGCTTCACTAAGACACTGCTTTAGCCTCTCAAACGCTCTTATAGCCTCTTCGGTCAAGATGAACTTTCGTTTTGTCGTCATCAAGTCTGTCAAAGGAGCAGATAGAGACGCAAAATTTGGCACGAATTTCCGATACCATCCACACATCCCCATAAAGCTTCTCAAGTTCTTTAGGCTTTTGGTAAAGGAAAGTTGGTAATCGCAGACACCTTTTCTGGGTCTGTACGGATTCCGCCGTCACCTATTATATGACCTAGATAACGCACTCGCCGCATGCAGAAGTGACTTTTGCCAATGTTGATTGTCAAACCTGCACGCCTGATCTGCAATGCTAACTCCCTGAGAACTTCGAGGTGATCTTCAAAACTTGCAGATACTATTAGAAGATCATCTAAATATATAAAAACTTCGTTCCTCATGTGAGCTGGCACTACCTTGTCCATTAAACGAGACATGGTGCTCGTAGCATTGCATAAGCCAAACGGCATTACTTTAAATTGGTATAACGGTCTACCTGGTACCGTGAACGCAGTCTTATCGCGCGACTGAACATCTAAAGGCACTTGCCAATAAGCATCCTTTAAGTCTAAGCTAGTTATAAATTCTGCTTTCGGTAATCGGCTCAAAATCCCATTTATTTGGGGAAGAGGGTACGCGTCCTTTTCCGTGAAGCTATTGACTTTCCGGCAATCTAAACATATTCTAACTTTCCCTGGTTTAGTAACCATCACTATCGGGGAGGACCATGCACTCTCCGATTCCTCTATCACACCCAATTGCAACATTCTGTCGATCTCCGTATACATTGCCTTCTCGACTGCAGGAGATACAGGGAAATGCCGCTGTTTGATGGGCTTCGCCATTCCTACATCAATAGTGTGAGTTATCAAATTTGTCCTGCCTAATCCTTCCTGAGTAAAAGAAGGAAAACAACTTATAGTATTTGCCAATTTAGCTTTTTCGTCTTCCGACAAATCGTGTTGATCCACCTCATCAGGGCGGGCTACCTTAGACGATTCTATTTCCGAAATCTTTAAATGTGTTGGAAGAAGATCGTATAACTTCCAAAAGTCTATGCCAAGATATAAATCTTGTTTGAGTGAAGGTACGACATACAGTTTTAAAGGCTTCTTATCATTGCCGTATTCTACGTCAATGTTTAGAACTCCTACTATATTTTGGGATTTCCCGTCTGCTGTCGCAGCGCTGCCTTTTATGGCTCGGTATTCCTTATTCTTTATCACTTCCTTAGCTAATTCTCCTCCTATGCAACTAATCGAAGCTCCCGAATCTAACAACCCGTATACAACGCGACCGAGCAATTGAACCGGTAGAAACGGTCGAGGATCTCTAGTTCCTGCGGGTATGGAATTAATGTGTTTCAAACTGTCTTTGCATCTTTTCACATTTTTCCAAAAAGCCTTTAACCTTCGTGAATTTCGTTTAGCTACGTTAGCTATCTTTTGTACTTCATGGATTGCGACGTCCCTTAACTTTGAAATTTTGCTATGAAGCAGAGAGCTATCTGGGACTATTTGTTCGTCTGGGGAAGAGAGAGATACACTTTGAAGAGTGTCCTCTATTGGTCGGTCATTGTAGACTGATTTCGACTGGCATATGAAGTCTTCTGTTTGTATTGCGACTTCGATATGCCTTGCTTGAAGTTTTTTGAACATTTACTGCAACTTGGCTTGTACGTGTTAGCCGCGCCGCATCCGTAACAAAAAACACGTCTCTCTGAGAGACAATCCTGATACCTATGTCCTTCGCCTTGGCAGTTCCAGCATTTCAAGGAAAAGGCTTCGATTTCTGCCTCGCCCTCAGGTTCTGATTCTTGGAGATCTACCATTTCATCTCCAAATTCAGCTACTTCACGCCTAAAAGGAACAACCTTAGTGTACCCACTACATCTCTTGACATCATGCGAGAAATGCTTCGCGACGCCTACAAATCTCCCTTAATTCGGACACCGTTTTTATCTCCAGATTCAGGATTTCATGCCGAATTTCAGGACGAAGATTACTTTTAAGTACTCGGACAAGTTTACTTGACTCCCAGGGCTGTTCTAACTGATCAGTTAGTCCTGAAATGTTGTCGTAGAAGCTATCGAAGGATTCGTTTGGTTTCTGTTTAGTCATTCTAATTATTTCCTCTATGTCATTATCATCTCTACTGTGCCTGAATTGAAGTCGTAAGGCTGCACAAAAATCCTCCCAAGAGATTTCACCGTACGCCTTATGGTACCGCCAGTAAAACTCGTTGGCTTTCCCTTCGAATAGAACACTGCAGTTCCTACACAAAACGGTAAAGTTTCCGTCCAGCATTTGCCTTGTGAGGGCTTCGACCCTATAAATAAAATTGTCAACAGACATACTTTCTCCAGAAAATTTAATTTTCCAACCATTGAGAATGTGGACCACTTTATCTGGCCGCGTTAGTAATTCAGATGCAACCGTGCGTTGGGAAGCAGGAGAGCGTGGAGTTTCGACTCTATCAAAAACTCTTGGCACCTGATCTTGGGGCTGGGGCTGAGCTGGACTTGGTGTGAGCGTCGCTCGATTCACACTTTCCGAGAAAGCATTCTGTATTAATGCAGACATCTTCTCAGAGAGAGGGGGGGTAGGGGGTAGCAATATAGTAATTATAACAATAACTTAAAACTAAATATTAAGGAATATTTGTAAACAAGAAAGGAAAGCTAACTTCGGGCGGAGCCGAAGTTTATATACCCTTGCAGTTTAAACCGGATATATATCGCAAACATCGGATATAGTTGGCCGATCCTTATGGAAATATGAATATATAATCCAATTTATTACAATACAAAATCTAAAAAAAGTCTCAAGCTTCTATCTTCAAAAACACCAAAAGTGGTATTTCTACCAAAAACCATTTCCGATCGTTCAGTTATATGGCAGCTATAAGATATAGTCGGCCGATCGTTATGAAATTTGGTAGATCGGATTAACTGACCAAGAATATAATCTGTACCAAGTTCCAGCTTTCTATCTTTAACAACACGAAAGTTGGGTCATTTCCGATCGTTCAGTTATATGACAGCTATAGGATATAGTCGGCCGATCCTTACGAAATTTGGCATGTCGTAATGTTTTGCCAAAAATAGCACTCATGTCAAATTTGAACTCTGTAACTTTAAAAACGTCAAAGTTATACAATTTCCGATCAATCAGTTATATGGCAGCTATAGGATATAGTCGGCCGATCCGGGCCGTTCCGACTTATATACTGCGTGCAAAGGAAAGAAGGGTGTGTGCAAAGTTTCAAGACGATAGCTATAAAATTGAGAGACTAGTTCGCGTAGAAACAGACAGACGGACAGACAGACGGACAGACAGACGGACAGACGGACATGCTCATATCAACTCAGGAGGTGATCCTGATCAAGAATATATATACTTTATAGGGTCGGAGATGTCTCCTTCACTGCGTTGCACACTTTTGACCAAAATTATAATACCCTCTGCAAGGGTATAAAAAAAAAAAAAAACATAATCGAGCCCCAGCGTCTACGCTGCATTTATTAGGAGATTTAAGCGTCTACGCTGCACCAGGAGATTTACCCACTGCAAGCTTAATTTGGGCAGTTAACTCCTCGAGGCGAAAAAAGACGGAGCCCGAATCCTGTGCCGATAAGTTGTTCAGCGTACACCGAAGTTTGTCACTAATTTCTTCTTTTTCTGTTAGTGTTTTATACGGCCAGACGGAAAA